TCATCTACCTCAATAACTGTACTCTTATTTATCACCGATTTTTTCAAAATTTTTGCATGGTATAAAATGGGAAGAAGTAAAGCAAAAACTAATGAAATTTTAGAAGCTACAGAGTTGAATTTTGGTAAATTTCTTCCCAACAAATAAATAGCCTATAACTTGGTCAAATGATAGTTTTAATTTCTTTATCCAACTATACAGTTTTCATCAGACCTTCACGGTTCATCAACTGTTTGTGGTTTTACATACTATACTAGACGAGTTTTTGCATAGTTTTTATTTCCATAGTAACACAGCGTAGAAATAGAATGCTTCACGAATAGTATTTTCAGTTTCTAAGGCACTGGGTCATAATGCATAATAGCCTAAACAATGTAGGTGAGAGAAATCTCAGATTATCGGTGAAAGTGATAAATAAAAGCTACAGTACTCAACTAAATTAAAGGATCGCTTGTTTTTGTTCGAAAAATTATCAACGTTTGAACTCCAGTTACTCCGCGAAATAAATTTTGCAATATTTTGCATGGGTTCATCTAAAAACTCGAAGCCTTTATTTTCTAAAGATTGCTTATTTGTTAAATAGTGAAGTGAAAAATTGGTGTTGCCTTTTTGGCTTGTTTAACAATTCAAATGATTACGCAGTTTAATTGATTGTTTATGGGATCTATGAATCGTTTCAAAATGACCTTCTAGAGGTCTTGCAGACGAGAGGCTCTCCTTTACGACACCTAAAAGGTCGACGTACAATTTTTGTTCACCGTTTTATCGCTCTCTAGATGAAAAGTTGGCCGCCGACACTAGAACCACTCGAGCAACACCACAAGGAGATTGCATCTCCGCACTTCATCGGGCTTGTACCACGTATGTGTTAGGGGTGGACGGATTCCTGACATTTCGGGTTCGGGTCGGATCGGGTATTTTTCTCGGGTTCGGATTGGGAAAGTTTGCGATACTCGGATACTCGACATCGAAGTCGAATCAAGTAGTGATTAGTTCGAATCGGGAACCGGGATAATTAGCATTATCTGACCTGACTTCGATGTCGAGTACCCGAGTCACGCTCAACCCGACCTGAGGCACGGTTACCAGCCCACCCCTAGTATGTGTGTATTTAACCCTCGCAAAGCGGTGGTTGTGTTCATTTTGACCCAGAGTATTTAAATCGTTCACCAAATTATTCAATTTTTGGCAATTTAATAAAATAAATTGCTGTTCCATTAGGAACATGGGAAAGGCGAGAAATATCTTCAAAGTTTGTTTTGAAAAATTGTTAAATAAATTTTAGAATTGTTATGAACATCGTCACTAGTATAGTTGTGGAGATAGTCCGCCGTCCGAGGATTAAAAACTGCGGCATCATTTAAATTCGTAGAAAATCAAAAGATAGAAAGAAATTTTAATTTTTGTCTTTATTCTAACAAAAGCAATTTTCGGGAAAATACAGTTAAAATCTGTGGAAGTAGAAGTTCCAAACTTTTCTATATGCTTAAGTAATAATATTATATTGTGGATATCGTATTCTATTTTGTGGAATATCGTAGTATACATTATGACGTTAGTATTAATTAGGAAATTTATGCAAGAAATTAGCTTAGAATATTTAAAAGAATGAGTATAGTTTGAACAAAATTTGAATGATGTTGTCTCTTTTTTCCACAAGGAGAAGTTATTTTGACCGTGGGAGAAACAATTATACTTTTACCGAAGGAGCTACGGTGTCTGAATTCCCACTTAACCGCTTATACTTTTCGTTGTTTATGTTGTTGTCAATGACGCTTTACGTTTAGGCCATTCCATGCCACATGGATCACTTCTGCATCTCAATGTCAGGGATTTTAATGATGTGATATTTATATTTTATTGGAGTCCATACATTAGTAGTGTATAGATACATCAAAAATGCTATGAGAGCCTCAATTTTATGGAATCAGTGTAATTTGATCTAAAAATCGTAATATGGCAGCCACAACATTTCTATATTTTCAGTTAATAAAAGCCCTAATGTAATCATTACATATGTTAGATAGAATCCGAAGATAGGGAGAAAAAATTATTTCATTAAAAGATGTCTACATTTCCAAAGATATGAGGAAGGGGGACAGAAAGTGTGGCAACAATTTTTATATTTTGTAATGCTTGGCCAGGAGCGCACATGAGGGACAATAACTAATTTATGCTTGTGATTGTATTTTTATAGTGATTGAATTTGATATTGCTAAATATTAATATTTCTAATTACATCAAATGGTATAATTAAATATGTATATTGGTAAGTAATATAAGTAGGAAATTGTTATAGATTAAAACATACGAGTTACATACTTCGTAATCATCGACAATCACTTCACCAACTGTGG